TGCAAGGTGAATTCTGACGGTGTTGGTGCTTATTGATGATAACTCATAATATTATAAAAATGGAAATATGTGTGTGTGTATTCGCAACAAGCTCAAGGGTCTGAAAATGCATATTACAACAAGTAATTGATTCAGTTTAAGCAAAGGCTATTCTACCACTTTACAATTGTTAGTTAGCATCATGGTAATTCCAAATAATTCTTTGTTGACAACTATTCAACTACTAGAATGGAATACAGAAAAGTAGTATATTGTTATTTCTCAATGAAACTGCCAACTTTCAGAATATGGTCAAAATCACTGAGTATTGCATATCAATCAATGAAAGTTAAAAAAAAGCAGTGACAGATCCTCCCAGCATGCTAGCATGAGACACACAGTACACTTACCTTGAAATTGTCCTCTTTTTCCAGCAACTCTCAGATCATTGACTAATAAAACAAGTTTTGAAACTTCAGTACCGTCAATTAAATCTTCATATAACTTCAGTCCATCAACCACATTCACCTAACATATTAAAACAGGTGCACTTTACAGATAGAATGTTAAAAGAAGGAATGGCAGAAAATTTAAGAGGTATTAGACATCAAGAAAGAAATAACAAGAAATTAATAAAAGCAAACTAACATTTAAAGGACCCTACCATCTTCCCATCAAACATCTCGTTGCCAGTAAAAGATTTTCCCACGGTAGAAGCATTCTGATTTTGATTTTGCATAGAATGTGAATCATTTCCTGTAACACATAGCACAGGAATCACAATAATTGAATCAATGTGCAAGGCGAATTAAGTCTATATGCTGACTCTGATCCTATAATTGAATGTGACTCTATGTGTGTGACTACAAGTAAGGGAGTGTTTTCCTTTGGCATGTCAGTAAACAGGCACATGACATTATATGCCAAAGGCAAACACAAGGAAGATCTGGGACACATCCTGAGCATTATTTACTGATTTAAAAAATTAATGCATTAATCGAACATAGTCCTATGTCCTCTAGATTTAATCACTGTTAGCAATAACAAAAACCTTCAGAATTTGATGTACATTCTTCATTTGCACCAGCAGCTTCACATTCTGAGCTAGACAGAGATCCTTGAGAATTCACAGAGCCATTCAAAATGCCATCAAGTTGATCATTTGTAACAGCATCTGCCCAAGTAACCAAAATATGAGATCATATCTGAAACCATGGTATATACATCCATTCATATGTAGATATATACGCATACACAAACATATATACTGTATATATGTGTATGTATGTTCCAAAAGGTCCATTATTTACCTTTACTCTCCTCAGGAGATGCTATACTATTGTTATCCATGGTCCCAACCTTGCCACCAGAGTTAAGTTCTCCATTCTTATCAATCGCACGAGTCCCTTTTTCCACACCTCCAGCAACAGCCACAGCATTTATCTCGCGACCAAAAGATTCTACGTTAGAACTATAACCTTCCTTGGCAGCCTCATTCCTAGAATTGTAACCTTCTTTGGCAACCTCATTCCTAGAATTATAACCTTCCTTGGAAGCCTCATTCCTGTACTGCCCTTGCCTAAACCCCGAACCGAACTTCCTAAACTCCTTGGAGCCAGTCTTTGCTGGATCCACAAACCTCTGCTGCCTCCTCCAGGCTACCTGCTGCAGTGCATATACAACCTCAGACACAGAAAAGTACTGCTGCATAAGCAGCACCTGAGTCCAATTACACCTCCTCTGCTGAATTGCCCCAACAACCATATCATACTCCCCAGGCTCACCAACAACACGTAAATGGTGGCACAAGGAGTCTATGATAGCATTCGCAGCGGCGAATTCACTGCGAAGCCAACCGATAAAACCATCCCTCTCATCCACAAACCACGGCTGGTGGCGATACTGGATCTCAGTGCCGCCACTGGCAGCACCACCGCCAGCCGGAAACTGCATTTTTTCCGGCATGACCGCGTTTCCCGATGGCATTGCCATGAGAACTCGATGCCAACAATGCACTACACACTACAGTCACATAAAAAGCATACCCAGTGGAAAAAATGTGATTTTTTTTAGTGGATTTCAAATCCAGTGCAATTCAAGTGGATCCCACGAGATGAAATGCAAAATTGAGGGGTTTTGAGGCTCAAAGGAGGAATATTGTTGAGGAAGAAGACTTGCACAGGAAGAATTGTAGGGTGTTTTTATAGAGGAAGCGTGTGAGGGAATCTGGGAGAGATCTGAGAAAGAAGTGTATGTGATGTAATGTTGTTGAGTTGAAGAGAAGGAAGAAGGTTGTTGGTGTTGTTGAAGAAGGAAGATCTAGGGTTGGGTTAAGGATATGTGCCCATGTTAAAGGGAAGATTATGAATTTTCATGGCTTATTCACCACGCATCCACTGTATAAATTAAATTAAATGCAATGTGCCTAATTCGTTGTTTTTTAATTATTTTATTAGGGTGTTGGTTTAACTTTTTAGGAAAGTAGTTATTTTGTACATTTATTTTGTATGAAGTAACATGACCCTGATTGGAGACATTTTTTTAGTAGAAATCACCAAAATAAAGTTTGTTTTCTATTAGTTGACTTGTTCAAACACACACAAAAAATGGATAAAATTGGGATCGGTATTGGCATACGAATATTAAGAACTAATTATACTAAAATTCTTTATTGTAAATATGAATTTTGAGTTTGACTTTTGGTTAATTTACTTATAAACGAGATAAAAGTATGAATATGATATAGAGTTAATAAATTAATATATATAATGGGAGAAATATAGTTGTGTATACGAGAATAACTGTCCTGTTAATTAATATTGAAATATATTTAATATATAAAGAGAATGTCTCTGGTTGCAATATATTTATTCACATCGAGACGTGAAAGATTAATTCAATTCAATTATTTTAATATTAAATTATTTTAATATTAAATTATTTTAATATAAATAATTTCGTTAGAAATAAGTTTTATTATTTTAAAACATATAATTTTTTTAAAAACAATTTTTTAAAGTTTTTTTATTTTTTTTTTTTAAGTTTTCTCTTCTTGTTTATCTATTTAAAGATAAGAGATAGTATGAGTAATCTCGCAGATAGATCTTCAAGTCTAATGGAGTTTCTCAAATAGAGAGTTGGTACCTTTTAGACCTCTCAGCTAGTTGAAGTTTAACTTCAAAAATCGCTAACGTGAAAGTAAGTCTAGAAATGACAAGATATCTTTACCAAAATACAAGGCCTAAAACAAAAACTTACGTACTTATTTATAAGGCTTAAGAGAAACAAAGAACAAGCTTGAAAACATTATTTTCTATGAGAGTAAAAGTTTTTAGAGTCTTTCTTCTTCTTCCATTCTCCTAACCCTGGTTCTAGTTGTAGCTCCCTAGAAGGATCTCCATCAAGCTCCTTGGATGGTTTCCATAATCAAGTAGGCATTTCTCTTCCTGAAAAATAAGTGCTTAGACGTTACAGGTGAAGTAGACACTTCTCTTCCTGAAAGGATATTTCGTTTAATGTTTATTGTTAAAGTTCAAAACTTGGGTTACTAGATTGTATAGTCTCTCCAGGCAATGTTGTCTTAACAACACATTGTTGAACTTGGAACACAAACATAATAGCAGAAGTTCAAGACATGTTTTTCCAGTAGTTCACACATACAAAATAAAAATAAAAGAAAGACCATTACTTTTTGCATACTATTACATTACTTCAATATATAATAAGAAAACTTTTGTGCCTTTTGGTTGTTGCTACTGGTTCCAAAATCAAAATTCTCCGTAACTAAAGTATGAAAAACTACAAAAAGTTGTTTTGTCCCCATTTTGTGTGAGAGTGTGTGCTTCTGCCATAAAAAAATGGTTTTTGTTTTGTTTAATGATGTGCTAGTGTAAAACCCTAGCATAACTGCATTTAGGCACTTGTAATGAAAAGTATGAGTGGAAATCTTTCTTTGGTTGAGCTTCTCCTATGGTCGAGTTGGAGTTGGATGTGGAAGAAGGGCTAAGCTGGAGTTGGAGATTTATGGTGGAAGGGTTAAGCTGAAGCTGGAGATCCATGGTGGAAGGGTGGAGCTAGTGGTGCAAATCCATGGTGGAAGGCTTAACAGGCTTAACTAAAGTTGGAGATTCGTGGTGGAATGACTGAGCTGGTAGTTTATATGTTATGAAGTTGTGTCCGTGTGAGGGTGTTGATCTTGTGGTGGATCATATGCTCTCACATTTTATTACAATATCCTTTTTGAAACTTTCTCACCCTCTTACCTCACTGTGTAACTAGGATCCATACATACCATTTGGCGTGTCATTTGAATGTAAATCCATCTAAGGGTGTCAAAGTAACATTGCTAATAATGCACCAATGTTGTTAGTTTTATTTTGACAATTAATCGGTTTCATTCGAGCATTAATCAAACAAATTTGAATATATATTATTGAATTGAAGTAGATATTAAAGGCAAAAATATCAAATGATGAACCAATTTGCCTATATTTTTCTTTGCTTAATGTTTACTTATTGGGTGAGTTGAGGGTAATTTTACCCCTCCTAAGATGGAGGGAACATTGTATGCTCAAAAACATTGTAGGTGATTGACTTGATGGAGGTTATTGATGATGGGACGTACACAAGTGTAGAACTTGGTCATGTGAACTATTTAAGTTGTACAAATGCACCATTAAACTATCCGAGCTTCTATTTGTTCTACCAACTTATTCAAACTTCTATATATTTTATTAAACTATTTGAGCTTTCCACGTACTCTACTAAACTATTCGGGATCTTTACCAACTCTATTAAGTTATTCGAACACTCTATTTGTTCGACTGACTTAATCAAGCTAGACTTCTCACTGAACTATATGAATTTGTCATGTTTTCCAAGTTTTCCAATTTTTATATTTCTACTTACTCTCATTGTGCTTGAAGTTTAGCTAATTTAAGTGATGGATTGTTTTCTAAAATGTTTAGGGAGCAACGGATATTAAGCTGAACTGAAAGGGCCTGAGTACAGAAACAAACGGTCCATGTAGAAAAAAGACAAGAAGAATGAGGTGTTGGACAAAGATTTTAAGACAGAAGGAATTATTTATTCATATATAAATAGTTGAGTTGAGTTGAGAAGGCGCACTTGTTAGTAGAGAGGGGTGAGTGAGGGAAGATGTTTCCAAGAGAGAATCATAGTAACGGCTATGAGCAGGTGGGTGGCATGGATCACACCCATTCCCACATCCACAGAGAGCGAGTCCGTCGCGGCACTCGCAGGTTACGTGGCTCCTCTTCCTCTCCATCTCTTAGGGTTTTCGACCAATCGCAACCGAACCACCACCGACCTCCCTGCACTGATTTCGACGTCGCCTACTTCCATTCCTACGCTCACCTCGGTATCCACCAGGAGATGATAAAGGTTCCTCTTCCTCTTCTTCTCTCATTTCGTCTCTCTCACCAACACTCCTTCTCTCTGTTCACATCATGCTTTCGGATGCAGGATCGCGTGCGTACTGAAACTTACAGGGAAGCAATCATGCAGCACCAGAGTTTCATTGCAGGCAAAGTAATTTTTCTGCGGCACATTTAAATTCATCTCTTCACCTTTGCCCTCTTTTCTTCGTCACCACCACTTCCTACTATCACTGCAGTTTAATTTATATGTTTTCGCTTTTTTTTTTTTTATTTACTCTGCAAATGTTCATTTCTGTTTCTTCACATAACAATGTGGTTTGTGAATTAATTAATAGTGCTCAGCGTAGTATCTCATGTTTTTAAGAGGATTCACGACTACGACAGCCGCACCAGGAATGATTCTCGAATAACCCTACTCCACTAATAGGACCTTAGTTAAAACTAGTAATTGAAAACTCTGAACTTCAATTGCCGAATCCCTGTAGAAGACATGACTTTTGGAACCCTAATGCTAGTATGGTACTTACTCGAATGCAAAACTTAAGTCAGAACTGGACTTCAGCTTCTATATAATTGGTTATAGAAAGATTGAGGGAGAGATTTCGTGGTTCAACAAAAATGTATTCGGAGTACTTGCTTGATACGTTGTCTGTGATCCAGCACTACCAATCTTAATTCCAATAGAACGTGAAACCCTATTGATAGGAAACTGGAATCAGATTAGGAGCATTCTTGAGTATTATTTCTCACTGGAATGCACCCGTTGCTACTAATCACGGTTTCATGCATTACACCTGATTTTATTTAGTCACGAAGTATATCTCTTCCTTTGAAAGGAATGTACTGACCCTTTGACCGAACTCATTTCTGGAGATTCCTTGAAAAGGCGTGTCAGGAGTTTGGTACTTTGAAGGGTTTGATATACTTTCAATAAAAGAACGAAGTATATGTTGAAAGGTTGCTGGTGGAATTGCTTCTATTACAAATCCCCAGTACTCCTCCCTTTCAGTTTTCTCTTGTCACTATTATCAGAAAACGGCAATTGTAATTAAAATTGTGCCATATGATGATGTTGTATCAAGCTTTATAAGTAGATAAATAGAAAACTCACACTTGCCAAAATGGAGACGAAAGCTAACGTTAATTGTCTGCTTGCAAATCTCCTAATTGTCCCTCAAACCTTGCTTATCTTTTTATTCTAATTTACTAACGGCATCAGGCTTGATGGTTACTCTACAAACTGACCAAACCCCATACTTCCTTCTTTTTCTTTTAAATGCCATAAATTCCCTGTTGCCCTCACCTTTTTCATCTAAAGTACTTTGTTTTTTCTTTTTGATGAGTGCGAGGCTAATTCCTATCCTTACATTCAATTATCCCGTTTGTAAGCCTTATTAATGGAATGGAGTACATGTTTTTTTAATGAAGATCTACTTATCATAAGTATTAAATACGAAGGTTCTGTTTTTCATTTTGGAATACTTTCTATATGAGATATAATAATTACAATTGCAAAACCATGATGCATCCATTTTCTATTTAACTGTTATTACAACCATTTTTTTTTTACAGTTTATTAAATGTGTGTGCTATGCATGTAAACTCAAAATTTGTAAAATTTGCTCAAAATTAATAACTTTTATAATTAACCATAAATTGTCATGGGTGTCTTAAACAAAATATACAAGTAAACATCAACAATAGGAAAATACAAGCTTCCTACATTACATTTTTAGTCATAATGTAATTACATTTTCAGCCTTCAAACCTGGAAATTTAAATCCCAGAAATATCCCTCCAAAAAAGCTTTAATGTATTTGTTACAAGGTATTTTTAAAATAAACAATTAATGGTTGCTGTCACTGCCACAACCACTATACCAGCCCCTTTAGCAGGGAGGGGCCTCCCCTCTCTGCTACACTGCTATAGACTCTATAATTTGCTATTTAAAACCTGATTATGACTCTTGGCCAAAATGGAGGACCTTTTTCAACTGAGGTAGGTCAGTACATTGCTGACCGAACCCATGTGGAGGGCTTCTTGTAGGGGATTGTGTTATTGTACATTAACACAAATGATATTTGTGTTATATATCAAATCATTGATATCTCATTGTCATTCATAATTTGCTTGTTTTGCTAAGTTCTTCTGGATTGAGGTTTCTTATGGCTTTTCCTGTCCTCCCTGCTTCTTAATCATCTGCTTTCAGGTTGTGGTTGATGTTGGATGTGGTACTGGAATCCTTTCTATATTTTATGCTCAGGCTGGTGCAAAGCGGGTATAGTCTTTCAAAATAATGTTCATGTCAGTTTAGTTAATACAAATGAATTGCCATTATACATTTTTGGTAATAAAATGTATTTTTTAATGAAAGCCAAACTGTTATATTCATTTAAGCCATTGTCGGTAAACTCTTGATTAACTATTAAACTCTTATAGTTTTACGATTCTGGATAAACAAAACGAGTTAACTCTATCAAACTGTTGTAAATTTGGTAAACTCATGTAAACTTGCATAAATCGTTGTAAATTTGTTCCCATTAACCCCAAATCGCAATTGATTCAATCTCCAATTTAATTTATACTAAAATACTGTGAAGGTTATGCACACCTTTTTTAGATTACATAATTTGGAGACACTGTATGCACCATGCACAGGTTGCTTTAAGCGCTCTATTTCTTTTTTTTTTGTATCTCAACTTCTGTTCAATTTATCTTTGGGGTTAATAATATATATTTCTATACTCTTGGAACTTTATGCCCTTGTTTAAGCTTTTAATTTGTTTGTTTCAAACATTTTTTTCCATCACTAAAGCATTTGACATGCATGATATTGGTTTGTGTTGCCAGGTGTATGCAATTGATGCCAGTGACATTGCCCTGCAGGTAATTGTCAAAGATCATAGTTTTCATTTGGACCCCATTTAGTTTTCATGAGGTTGAAAACTATACTGAATTTTCTATTTGTTCCTATAGCACTATTGCAAAAGTGGGCCTTTTTTTCGGATCTTTTTAGATACATCCATGGATTTCTAAGCCACACTATTCCTTTTTCAAAAAAGTACAAAACCTAAGGCTAGTTATCTGAGTATTGGCTTCCATGCTAGATTGAGTTCTAAAGGGTTATATAACCCAATGGATGTGTGATATTACCTTATCCAGTACTTGTTGAAGATAAGAATACAATATTTGGGCTATTGTATCATTTTTTAGTTCAATTTATACTATATTAGCAGTAGCTGATACTGTATCTGTAATCTACTATATGTATCCATGATACGATAATCATAATTATGATTTATAGTAGAATGAAGTGTACTCATCTATAGCTGACCAAATTAGAACCAGACCTGTAATTCTAACTTATCCCCTTTCTCTCTGCACCATTTTACCGAGGTCATGAAATATAATAGTTTTTTTTTTATTATTTATTTTTTAATAACTTGTCTTTGAAAGACTGCAAGAATCTTTGTTAAGCTTTTTCTGTTTCCTTTACCTATAAAGCATTGTAATAACAGTCGTTCTTAGAGGATAATTATAAAATTTTATTGGAGAATTATATTACTTTGCATAACATTTTGTAATACCAGCAGTTTCTCTAGTTCTGTTTAATTTCATCTTTGTTTAGTGGGCTGTAGAGAGCAAAGAGTTGAATTCTTATGATGTTGTTCTGTACATTTAAAGGTTGAGATTGTGAATAAGTTGTTTAAATGTTACTAGCACATTTTTTACCTTGAGTACTTGGTTTCAATTAATTACTTTCTTTTGGGAGCAGGCAAATGAGGTTGTGAAAGCCAATAACTTGTCTGATGTTGTTGTTGTATTGCATGGACGAGTCGAGGTAGGCTCCTTTGGCCAATATATGCTTTTTATTTTATTTTTTCATTAACACTATACTTTATACCATAGTTTTACCTAGTTTGCGGTAGTCTTTAGCGTGTGTAATGGGTGCATGCTACAGTTGTCATTCCTGTATAGCGGATAGGAGCGGCTGAACCTGGGATAGGAGATACGGGGGTGACCACTATTATAATATTTTATATGTGCACAAACACACACAACGTGTGTGTGTGTCTATATGCATATATATATATATATATATATATATATATATATATATATATTAGAAGTATATATAAGCTGAAAAACAGAAAAAAAAACACAAAATTCATACACTACTTGTAATTAATAGTAACAACTCAGTACTTAACAAACCTAGAGTATAGAGTCAAGAAAAAACAAATATAAAACCTAAATTATCAACTTATAGTACACTGATTCTTAATAATACTAATAAGCAAATAAGAAAATATGGAACTTAATAAAAATATTGAACCTTCCACTAAAAATAATGGCTATTATTGGTTAGCTTTTTGGTATGGTTCTACAGCTGTAGTTTTTTTTTTCTCATAACAAAATGTGTAGGCATTTAGCAGATTCTACTCTAAAATTTGTTGGTTTTTCCTTTTTAAACTTGATATTTTTTATTTAGAACAAGCTGTATAATTTTAAATTCACCTTATGCTTTATGCAGGATGTTGAAATTGATGAAGAGGTGGATGTTATAATTTCGGAATGGATGGGCTATATGCTTCTATATGAGGTGCTTATTAGGATTTTTCTGGCTATTTGATTAAATATATATTTTTGAATGTCGAAAGCTAAATCAAATTTTCATAAGATCAGAAGAGCCAAACAATAAATGAAATTGAAATTGGGAAAAGACTAATTTTGTATGGCTACTTTTGAAAATAAAAAAATGGAAATCCTTACAATTTTGTGCACAGAATTGAATTGAAAATGTCAGTGGTGGAATAGGTTCTATACATGTTCCAGTGATTGGGCTGAAGAAAAGGAGAAATTGTCACTTTATTGGTATAATTGTGGAAAAACAAAAAATTGTACTATTATATAAATTCAAGTTAAAATGTTTTCTCATATTCAATTGTAATAGGTTGTTCGAAGTTTAAGTATCCATGATGTGTTGTTTTATGAGATACATCAGATTAGTATACAAGGAGCCTACGACAAATTTACGAAACTATGAAAACTTATTTTTGGGTACAAATTCTTGTGAATATGGTATTGTTTCTACATATACGCTCCTAGTATCAATAGTATATGATACAAAATAAAAGTATATAGCAAGGCGTATATGAAACTTACTAAAAAGCATCAAGAACAATCATGAGTTTAACACTTCCCAAAATCCATTCTTAGGTTGTGTTAAGAAGTGGATTTAAGTCTAAGTCAATCCTACAAAACCGGCTTGTAAGGTGAGGTTTGCACTCACTTATATATTCTAAATTGGCTTTATCTCTAGGCGATGTGGGACTTCCAACACACCCCTTCATGCCGAGGTATATATATTTCGAGCGTGAGACTAGACATTAATAAGTGGTCCGATAGCGGCTCGATAGCGGATGAAACAATATGCCCAACAAACAACAAATATTGCTAGGATATGCTCTAACCTGACTCTGATACCATGTTAAGAAGTGAACTTTAAGCCTAATTCAACCTCACAAAATCGGCTTGTAAGGTGAGGTTTGCACTCACTTTATTTCTAGTCGATGTGGTACTTCCAACATGTTGGATGTAATTTTTTCAAAGTTGTTGCTTGGTGAGTAAATCTGCAAGTTGACTTTGAGTGGACACATACGGTTGGGAAATCAAGCCATTGTCCAGCTTTTCTTTGATAGAATGTTTATCCCTCTCAGCATTTTTAGTTCTGTCATGCTGCACTGGGTCGTGGGCTAAAGTAATGGTAGATTTATTGTCACAATATAACCTCACAGGTTTATTCCACCTTATCTTCAAATCTTCCAATATTATAGTCATAAAAGTTCACTTATTCCTTGAGCCTTTGGTTGAAGTATTGCTTCAGCACTAGATTCGCTACCACCCTCTAGGTTTCCATTGAGGAAATTGCAATATTCATTAGTTGACCTTCTATCCATAATTGATCCAACGTAATCAACATCAGTATATGTCTCAAGGATTACTCTATTGTTGTGTTTGCACAAAATCCATCTTATTGGTATCCCTTTTAAATGCACCAATTCTAAGGGCAGCTTGGAAATGTGCTTCTTTTGGTTGGTGCATAAACTGACTGAATAGGCTCACAACAAAGGCAATGTTTGGCTTAGTGTGAGATTATGTAAACGAGTTTGTCATCAAGTTTGTGATATTTTTCCTTGTCCACAACAACATTCTTGTACTTGCCAACTTTGTATTTCGATCAATTGGTGTATTTGTTGGTCTGCAGGTTGTGTTATCCAAATCAGAAATGTATTTTTGTTGAGATATGAAGATTCCTATCTTGGAATGGGTTTCTTGAATTGCCAAAAAATATTTGAGCTTTCTTAAGGTCTTGACTTCAAATTCCTTCACAAGGCACTGCCTTAATACTTTCTACTCCTCTTTATCATCTCTGGTTACTATATATAAATATCCTAATAATATAGGTACTCCCCCAAGGATGAATGTTTGATAAGTAAAGTGTGATCCCGTTGTCTCTGTAACCAATACCATGACTATGGTAAATATTCTTAAAGATGCTCTTGGTGATTATTTCAACTTGTATAGTGCCTTCTTTTAACTTGCAAACTATTTCGGTTACTATATATAAATACCCTAATAATATAGGTACTCTCCCCAAGGATGAATGTTTGATAAGTAAAGTGTGATTCCCTTGGCTATGTAACCAATACCATGACTATGGTAAATCTTCCTAAAGATGCTCTTGGTGATTGTTTCAACTTGTATAGTGCCTTCTTTTAACTCGCAAACTATTTCGGCACCAACCTATTTGCCATAATTAGGTGACAACTCCTTCTTTGAGGTCTCAATTTAGAAAATGCATTTATTTACATTGAACTGCCACATGTCCCAATCATGGTTTAATGCTAATTACAATATTACTTTGATCGTCATCAATTTAGCAAATGGAGTAAATATCTCCAAGTAACACTACATAGGTTTGAGTGTATCCTTTGACCACCAACCTTGCCTAATACCTCATGTAATGATGTTGGGTTGGATTCTTAGGCAAAGACAAATCCTGGATGACTTTTTCTCTTCTTGAATATACCAGATTTTTCTCAGGTGCATATTTTGTTGTAAATGCTGATTCTGCAAGTGTTGGTTCTTGTTCTCTCTCTNTATATATAAGCTGAAAAACAGAAAAGAAAACACAAAATTCATACACTACTTGTAATTAATAGTAACAACTCAGTACTTAACAAACCTAGAGTATAGAGTCAAGAAAAAACAAATATAAAACCTAAATTATCAACTTATAGTACACTGATTCTTAATAATACTAATAAGCAAATAAGAAAATATGGAACTTAATAAAAATATTGAACCTTCCACTAAAAATAATGGCTATTATTGGTTAGCTTTTTGGTATGGTTCTACAGCTGTAGTTTTTTTTTTCTCATAACAAAATGTGTAGGCATTTAGCAGATTCTACTCTAAAATTTGTTGGTTTTTCCTTTTTAAACTTGATATTTTTTATTTAGAACAAGCTGTATAATTTTAAATTCACCTTATGCTTTATGCAGGATGTTGAAATTGATGAAGAGGTGGATGTTATAATTTCGGAATGGATGGGCTATATGCTTCTATATGAGGTGCTTATTAGGATTTTTCTGGCTATTTGATTAAATATATATTTTTGAATGTCGAAAGCTAAATCAAATTTTCATAAGATCAGAAGAGCCAAACAATAAATGAAATTGAAATTGGGAAAAGACTAATTTTGTATGGCTACTTTTGAAAATAAAAAAATGGAAATCCTTACAATTTTGTGCACAGAATTGAATTGAAAATGTCAGTGGTGGAATAGGTTCTATACATGTTCCAGTGATTGGGCTGAAGAAAAGGAGAAATTGTCACTTTATTGGTATAATTGTGGAAAAACAAAAAATTGTACTATTATATAAATTCAAGTAAAAATGTTTTCTCATATTCAATTGTAATAGGTTGTTCGAAGTTTAAGTATCCATGATGTGTTGTTTTATGAGATACATCAGATTAGTATACAAGGAGCCTACGACAAATTTACGAAACTATGAAAACTTATTTTTGGGTACAAATTCTTGTGAATATGGTATTGTTTCTACATATACGCTCCTAGTATCAATAGTATATGATACAAAATAAAAGTATATAGCAAGGCGTATATGAAACTTACTAAAAAGCATCAAGAACAATCATGAGTTTAACACTTCCCAAAATCCATTCTTAGGTTGTGTTAAGAAGTGGATTTAAGTCTAAGTCAATCCTACAAAACCGGCTTGTAAGGTGAGGTTTGCACTCACTTATATATTCTAAATTGGCTTTATCTCTAGGCGATGTGGGACTTCCAACACACCCCTTCATGCCGAGGTATATATATTTCGAGCGTGAGACTAGACATTAATAAGTGGTCCGATAGCGGCTCGATAGCGGATGAAACAATATGCCCAACAAACAACAAATATTGCTAGGATATGCTCTAACCTGACTCTGATACCATGTTAAGAAGTGAACTTTAAGCCTAATTCAACCTCACAAAATCGGCTTGTAAGGTGAGGTTTGCACTCACTTTATTTCTAGTCGATGTGGTACTTCCAACATGTTGGATGTAATTTTTTCAAAGTTGTTGCTTGGTGAGTAAATCTGCAAGTTGACTTTGAGTGGACACATACGGTTGGGAAATCAAGCCATTGTCCAGCTTTTCTTTGATAGAATGTTTATCCCTCTCAGCATTTTTAGTTCTGTCATGCTGCACTGGGTCGTGGGCTAAAGTAATGGTAGATTTATTGTCACAATATAACCTCACAGGTTTATTCCACCTTATCTTCAAATCTTCCAATATTATAGTCATAAAAGTTCACTTATTCCTTGAGCCTTTGGTTGAAGTATTGCTTCAGCACTAGATTCGCTACCACCCTCTAGGTTTCCATTGAGGAAATTGCAATATTCATTAGTTGACCTTCTATCCATAATTGATCCAACGTAATCAACATCAGTATATGTCTCAAGGATTACTCTATTGTTGTGTTTGCACAAAATCCATCTTATTGGTATCCCTTTTAAATGCACCAATTCTAAGGGCAGCTTGGAAATGTGCTTCTTTTGGTTGGTGCATAAACTGACTGAATAGGCTCACAACAAAGGCAATGTTTGGCTTAGTGTGAGATTATGTAAACGAGTTTGTCATCAAGTTTGTGATATTTTTCCTTGTCCACAACAACATTCTTGTACTTGCCAACTTTGTATTTCGATCAATTGGTGTATTTGTTGGTCTGCAGGTTGTGTTATCCAAATCAGAAATGTATTTTTGTTGAGATATGAAGATTCCTATCTTGGAATGGGTTTCTTGAATTGCCAAAAAATATTTGAGCTTTCTTAAGGTCTTGACTTCAAATTCCTTCACAAGGCACTGCCTTAATACTTTCTACTCCTCTTTATCATCTCTGGTTACTATATATAAATATCCTAATAATATAGGTACTCCCCCAAGGATGAATGTTTGATAAGTAAAGTGTGATCCCGTTGTCTCTGTAACCAATACCATGACTATGGTAAATATTCTTAAAGATGCTCTTGGTGATTATTTCAACTTGTATAGTGCCTTCTTTTAACTTGCAAACTATTTCGGTTACTATATATAAATACCCTAATAATATAGGTACTCTCCCCAAGGATGAATGTTTGATAAGTAAAGTGTGATTCCCTTGGCTATGTAACCAATACCATGACTATGGTAAATCTTCCTAAAGATGCTCTTGGTGATTGTTTCAACTTGTATAGTGCCTTCTTTTAACTCGCAAACTATTTCGGCACCAACCTATTTGCCATAATTAGGTGACAACTCCTTCTTTGAGGTCTCAATTTAGAAAATGCATTTATTTACATTGAACTGCCACATGTCCCAATCATGGTTTAATGCTAATTACAATATTACTTTGATCGTCATCAATTTAGCAAATGGAGTAAATATCTCCAAGTAACACTACATAGGTTTGAGTGTATCCTTTGACCACCAACCTTGCCTAATACCTCATGTAATGATGTTGGGTTGGATTCTTAGGCAAAGACAAATCCTGGATGACTTTTTCTCTTCTTGAATATACCAGATTTTTCTCAGGTGCATATTTTGTTGTAAATGCTGATTCTGCAAGTGTTGGTTCTTGTTCTCTCTCTTATTTTTTTCCATTCCTTCTTCATTTTTCGGGACAGTGTCAATGCTATTATTTGTCCCGATTTCTGGCCCAAAATTTGGAAGTGTGAGCAACTCATCTTCCTCTCTTACTTTCTCCCGTCGAAGATGAGGTTGTTTGAAGTAACTTTCTTGTTCGTTGAATGACATTCTGGGACACAATTTTTTTTATGTGGGGATAAAACAATTATATCATTTTTTTTGTGATTGAGTCCCATGAATACACACGTTACTGCCCTAGGATCAAGATCCCTCTTTTATTACTATGAACATGCATAAAGGATACGCACCCAAATATTCTAGGTTGGAGCTTATTATAAGTGTCTATATGTGGGAAAAATGGATAGGGTTTCCATGAGATTTTTGAGGCTAAGGCTTTAGAGGGTAACCTATTGATTAGGTTGGTGGCAATAAGTATAGTTTCCCCCTAAAGTTGTTTTGGAATATTGTGTAAAAAAGAAGAGCTCTAGTTTGGTGAAGTGATTGTCCAGTTTTTGTTTTTTGCGCCCCATTTTGTTGGGCTGTGTTAAGACATAAATATTCATGGATTATCCATTCCTTTTGACAAAAGGAGTTGATCACAAAATTAATGTAGTCCTTGACATTATTAGACCTGATTCTCTTGATATTAAAGCCCCTAAATCGTTTTTTATACTGGGAAATCCACCTTTCCTCCAATTAGCAACCCTGGTTGTTCCTTCTTCAAACCACCATTGTTGAAATCTTGGTATTTGGAGTCTTCAACATCATCTCTATCTTGCTTTCTTCACTCCAACAATGGCTACCGCTCCATTAAGTCCTAGGATTTTCTCGTTTTCCAGGATTTGGATTTGGATGTAGTCATATTCAAAATTTAGACCAACCAAGAAATCGTATACCTTTGCTTGAAGCATCTGTCTCAACCACAGAAGGCTTAAAAAATCTGGAATAGCCAAGGTGGGTAAATGTGATTCCACTTCTTTTTAATATTTCAAAAGCTTTCTGAGCATCCCCATTCCGTTGAAACGCATCCTTCCTTAATAATTGTGTCAAAGGTTTGGCTATTTTTCCATAATCTTGCACAGACCACCAGTAATAACCAGTGAGGCCCAAAAATCCACGTAATGCAGTGACATCTTTTGGGGCATAGGAAAAAGAGAAATTGTCACTTGATTGGTATAATTGAAGAAAAACAAAAAATGTACAATTATATAATTTGATAGACCACAAGCTTATTGTTGAGTTTTATTTGGAAGCTGTGGAATCTGTATGATGTTGCATATAATCCAAATTTGTTTTTCCTTGGAACTTCAGTAAATGTTTTTTAACTATGCAATGATACATTAACAGCACCAAATGAGTACTGCTTATTTGACCCACGGACACTGACTCATGCACACAAACATGTTAGAGAGCAAGGGTAGTTGACATGTAATCAGTTGATTGTGATAGTTGACATATTATCAATTAACGCACATGATATGCAACTTGTTTAGAGACATTTTATAATACCATAGTTTTGGTGATTGGATCTTATTTTTATGAGATTCATTGATATTCAGCATTAAACTGATTTTTCTGGTTTGGTGATACGTACAGCTAGGAGAATATTATTTGTATTGGAAATAACCCAAATCATTCATATAAAAACCCTTGACTCAAATTGGTTTTGGTTTTGTAAGGTTAAGTGAAACCTAAATCCAAATGCTAAGACATTTCATCATTTCAGGATCATGCATGTTCTTTTTCCTTCTGGATTAAATATTTTTTTGGTCCTTAAACTATCACGAGTTTTTGGTTTTCGTTTCTCTTCCAAACTTTGTTCTATTTAGGTCCCTTTCCTTTTAGAAAGTCACGAATTTAGTCTTCTATGGCCAATGTCGTTAGTTTTATTTTCTGACGTGGCAAACAATGTGCCACCGTTTAAGACACTTGTACTATGTTCCCAGGTCGACAAGATAGCTTGGTGGCAAACGGTGTGCTACATCCCTAGCCCGGTAAGGTCGGCAAGACACGTGTGTTGCCGATATGGGAAAATAGTACATGTGTCTTGCCGATCTTAGCGGGCTGGGGATGTGGCACAATGTTAACCACTGAGTTTTCTTGTTGACTTGGGACACAGTACACGTCTTAAATGGGTTGGGGACGTGGCATACTTTTTGCCACATAAAAAAAAACTAATGTAGTTTGTCATAGAGGACTAGTTATGTAACTTTCTAAAACGAGATGGACGAATTAGAACAAAATTTTGAAGAGGAACAAAAGCAAAAAAATGCGTGATAGTTTAGGAACGAAAAACATATTTAAACATTTCCTTTTTTAACCTCTTGCCAATTAAGAGTTGGAGGAGAATATTTCTCCTATTTTTTGGCCTGGGTGAGTGTTCATGTATTGTTTGGTCGGAATGGGCTAGAATTTGACTGGTTCAATGATTTTCGAATCAAATTAGATGGTCCACTCTGTTTTTTTATAACGATCGAAGTTTTTATTTGATCTTATGTTAGTGGTTGGATCTTAAATTTTTATCAAAGAAAAGGTCGATGCATAATATGTCCAGGTAATATAATATAATATCTAGGGAGATCTAAAAGCAGTGATTGTGATTTATTGATATACTGTCTTTTTTGAGTGGAAGATCCAAAAACATTAAATGTCAGTTAAAATTTGCTTTCCTTTCATTCTTTTTCCTCTTTATTCTCTTTATTTTTTTGTTGGTGTTTCGAAAGGATGGCTGCCTCAGTTCCAACCTAAGTCTAAATTATACTTAGACGTCAGCATAAACTTAAATTTCTCAGCTTCTAACAGTAAAACCGCATTTTATGATTTGTATTGGTTTGAAGATTTTTCTTCTCTTGTAGAGTATGCTTGGAAGTGTTATTAATGCTAGAGATCGATGGCTCAAACCTGGAGGTCTTATTCTTCCTTCAAGTGCAACGGTATCTCTATTTATTTTAGCTTAAATATTATTGCTTATGCAATCGGGAATACTTCTAAAAGGTTATTTTGTCTGGTAGAAGCCTGACCATATGCATATATATGATTGGGGGAATCATTAATTACATGATTCAGTTTACCTTTAATAATGATTTGACGTTGTGGTGTCTTATAAAAAAATGCTGATACTTGTACTTTTCTCCAGTTGTACATGGCTCCTGTCACGCATACGGACAGATACAACGACAGTGTTGACTTCTGGCGCAATGTTTATGGAATTAACAGTGAGTACTTGTTGACAATATATGGCATACGAGATTGTTATGGAGATTTGGAAATCAGTACTTGTGCAGACTTAAAACTAGATTTTACTTATTTTTCTGTGTGATTAGACTTCGTAATGAATATTGCCAGGTACTGTATATCTGCAGTTATTGTAATTTGGCAATATCTTTAAAATTGTTTTTTAATATATATTTTAAAGTTTTTTGGATTATTCCCTTTTTACTTTTATACATTATTTCCTTTTTAATTGTAAAAAGAGAAATAACGTATAAGATTTAATAAAAAAATTGTAAGGAAAATGCGAACAAAAAACATTTAAACATGATAAGTATTTAAAAAAAAGTTATAATATAAATAATTAATATAATTTTATAGTACATTGTAATTATAATATCCGTAATTTTATTACTTTTATAAAATATTTTGAATTGTGATTATTTACATTAATTTTAAATTTTATATTAATATTGTTTTAATTTTATTTGGCAAAATGTTCTATGAAATATTTATGGCATAATTTATTGAATATAAATATTATTTATGAGATGTATTGTTGTATGTGATTTATTTTGTGTATGGTGAACATTCAAGATTTAGGGGGAAAATGTGCTTTTGGTCCCCTATACTTCTGGTCTGAAGTCCTTAAATTTTCTTATTCAAGATTTTTTCCCTTGAACTTTAAAATATTTCTAGATATTAGTGCCTTTTCACTAAGAATTCATCTTATCTTTTAAAATTTAGAAGGATTAAATTCATATTTTTTAAACTTTGAGAACAAAATTCATACATATGAAAAGTACATGGACTTAAATACGTTATATAATACGTATGTAAATTTATATATAATATTTCATACTATTTACATCATAGATGAATGTAGTTATATATTATTATTAGTATTATATGTTATATTATAATATATGTAAATGTTATAAATGCATACTATCCTATTTTGTTTCCTGATCCATCATCTCCCCTTGTAGAACTTCACTATCCCAACAGGATTGAATAAGTAGTTGAATAAGATAATCAACTGATAAGATATGTATCTTATCACATTTTAAATACTGCTTTCTGTTGCAGTGTCTGCCATGGTACCATTAGCTAAACAATGTGCATTTGAAGAACCTTCCGTAGAGACAATAACTGGTGAAAATGTTTTGACATGGCCACATGTGGTAAGTTCACAATTGTTGTAGCTACAGGCTGTATACATTTTGACTTCTCTTAGTAACCGTAAGATGTTGAAATAACATGCTTATCTATCTATTCAATAATTATGTTTTCTGCAAGCTGTGGTTTGAATAAAAATTTGGTAAGATTTTTCATGATACATTGTATAAGCATTATTAGTATTATATAATAAAGTGTATATTTCACAATATGGTGAGAAGCTTGATTTATGTTTTTTTTTTCATTCTCCTTTTGTTAGATTTCGAAGTATCTTGTACTTTTGTTTTTATTTGATGATTCGTGTCTCAATAAATTATTTTTTATAATAAAAATTAAATCAGAGACAATAACGTTTAAGCAATCAGCTTTAGTTATTGTAGACGCAATAGAATGCAATCATTTATCCTATTCTTACAATATTCCAAGCGTGTGTGTGGCACTTGAATTCAAAGCTAATAAGAAAAATTCATAGGAAGCTGAGTAGCATCATTCAGTATCAGGAATATCTGACGTGCATTACCACCCACGTGTATGTTTCTTGCGATTTCTGTCTTATTTAAGTATCACAATCTGAAATCCAAAGAACTGGTTGAAGTGGATTGTAGCCAGGTTGATAGTGAAATCTTAAATGAATGTGCAGTAATGAAATCAACATATAGTAATGTCTCTTATTTCCCAATGGAATGAGTAAATCATTCAGTGATGAGGCTTGAAGAGAAATTTCTGACTTTTCAGCTACAAGTCCTGTAGATTCTCATGTCAAATGTTATTTGGTAATAAAGTGTTTTCTCCCTTTCTGGAAGTTATCTGTCAAATATGCTGAGCTTTGTACTGTATCTTTTTCTCTCTTTAAATTTTTGTTGTCCTTTTCATTTGGGGAAAAATAAAGTTAAAGGTAAGGCATGTTTTCCACTTTCTCAAAGTTGGGAATGCCACACGCTTCAGTGATGGATCACAGTGGTACTTCTTGATGACATTCCAATAAATGACAACTAAGCTGGAAGGGAACTCAGTATCTTTTGAGCCTTTGTACTTCTATCGATTTATTATATTTGCTCAGGGTCAGCAGTAATAATACTAATTTTACACCATTTATTTGACTATAATGTGATGTTTAAGATCACAAAATGCAGTATTTGATCAGGATGTCTCGTAGGCTTTGTTGTAAATTCTACTATACAGTGACATATTTGTTTGTGTATTGCATGTTTGTTTCATTATTTCAAAATTTTCCCTGTTCAGTATTCAGTATTATTTCTGAAAAAATATCGTTCATTTACAATTACAGGTAAAGTACATCGATAGTTATTCTGTTACCATCAACGAGTTAGAATCTGTAACAACCAAGTTTAAGTTCAATTCTATGATGCGAGGTATCTTTGTTTTGTTCTTCCTTTTCACTGGTTATTGGCCTCTTATATTTTTTCTTTGCTGCTAGGCTTGTTAATTTCACAGTGCTCAGTTTTTATCCAATTTACTGACAAATTATTCTGAATTTCGTGAAATCTTATAGTGTGACAACAATAATTGAAATTTGTTTCCTGTTTCCTCCAGCACCACTACATGGTTTTGCATTTTGGTTCGATGTTGAATTTAATGGGAATGCAATAGTATCAACCAATTACAATTCAACAACTTCATTTATTGACAATCATCAGATGAATGGTAGTCAGAGGAAAAAGCGAACAAATCCAAATGAAGCACTGGTCCTGTCCACTGCGCCTGAGGACCCTCCAACACATTGGCAGCAGGTGCAGTGTTTATTTCTTCAATTTCCAATTTCAATGTGGTTCTAGTTTTATTGTTCAATGAATGTATACACAAGTGTTTTGTCAATGGTAGTCTTAGCATCAAAGAAAAATTAAAAATGTACAAGATGATATGGTTGCTTTGTATCTAGTACTTGAGTAATTCCATAGTTGGATACCAGCTACTTGCTTGTCACACTATATCCTCTCAACTTGCAAAGTACCACATTCGTCAAAAATTACACTGAAGTGCAGGCATAAGAAAAAAAATTCCTGAGTATACTTGTAACATAGTGTTAGAGATTTTTAATCCTCTAATTGCCACCTATCCTACTCCCCTTGAACAAAATCTTTTGTAGACCAGATTGAGGGTGTAGTAGTATATATATGAAGTATTATGTTAGTAATACATTTCCTAAAGCAATTTTTTTTTGTAGATAAACTGTATGTGGGGCTCATAAATTTGAGCACACTGTTTTATTAGTAGTGAGCGTGTTTCTAGAGTGTAAGTTATATTGACAAGGCTAGTTGTGAAAACTGGAAAGCATGCCCTGCCATCCTTCGGTTTCCTAAATTCAAATACGTTGGAGGATGATATGGGAATTGTGAACTCAAAGCTTGAGCTTTTGGAATAGTTGGTTCGTGGCAGTTCACTTTTTTTTATTTATGCTAGGTTTATATTATTGTTATTTTGGCTTCTCGAATATTATATCCAAAATTGCATTTTCTATGACATTATTTTTGCGTCTTGATCTTGCTGATTAATTTTGCAGACATTGATATACTTTTATGATCCCATAGAGCTGGAACAAGATCAACTCATTGAAGGTTTAGTGACATTGTCGCAAAGCAGAGAAAATGCACGATTTATGAATATTCACCTTGAATATACGTGAGTCAGAACAGTTGTTTCCCAAAATAGGGTAATTTTTTAATGGATTTCTGACTTTGTTCCCTGGCATTGCAGTTCAGGTGGTCGATCGCATGTGAAAGAGTCTGTTATGAGATGATAATTTAATTTCATGTACGTGAGCATTGTCTTTCGCATCAACATTCTCGGACTTCTGCATATATAATTTCTGACTCCGTTTCTCCTAGAGAACTGTGGGTAGGTGTTTGTTCTTCAAATCACTAATCTCTGCGTGCTAGATTAGAATGTAGCAACTGACGAACTTGTCACACCATAGAGTTAGGCCAATCACATGCAATTTTGTTGTAATTTACATCACTGAGGCGGATTACTATCGTGGGGCTTTCGCATATTTTGTTTCAATTATCTATTGGATTCTTACTGTAACATAGAGCTGTTTTTGAACTGTACATCGCGTGCGTATTGATATAGACTTCAATGTATCATCTTTGAGCATCGTTGCCATGTTTGGTGTACCTTTTTTAAGATGAAACTAGTATTATTTTTCTAAACCTCAAAAAGTTCAATCATAACCGGAAATGTGTTGCACTTTCCAGAGTACATTTTCCGAAACGAAAGAGGGTGTTGGTGAAATTTTCAGATGTAGGAAGCTGGTCCCCCCAACTTAATATTTAATGTTTTTTTTATTGAGTCCATACTTTAGGCTATCATTACTCTTTCTCCAGCTTTCGCATTTTTAGTATTATGGAAAGTATATATTCTCCCGGAAAATAATCTTAGACTGCTATAGTTTCAGGTTCTTATTTTTGGGGGGTTTTATGATTAAAGCTTTGAAATTTAGTTTCCAAGATTTTAGAAAGTAGATCGTGGAGCATATAATAACCAGAAATATGCTTTGGAATTTAGTTTCCGGAAATGATTAAAATTCGTTTCGGAAACTGAATTCCGGGATACATAGGAAACCTAAATATCATTTATTCCACATCTTCATAAAGTAATGCAGTTGCATTGTACACCACACCATGAAGGGTATTGCAATTCTTTATCATTTGCTGTCCAAATTTTGCCCACAAAGTCTCACTTTGTATCTCATATATCTACATGTTTTCTTAGTTTGCTCACTTTACCTTTATAACTTCACGCTTGAACTTAGGATCCCATCCTTGTGTCTTTAAGCACCTCCATCATCCCAATCCTTGTATGCTTCAATCATTACGTTCAGCAAACTAATAATGTATATGGAAAGGACATNTTAGTAGTGAGCGTGTTTCTAGAGTGTAAGTTATATTGACAAGGCTAGTTGTGAAAACTGGAAAGCATGCCCTGCCATCCTTCGGTTTCCTAAATTCAAATACGTTGGAGGATGATATGGGAATTGTGAACTCAAAGCTTGAGCTTTTGGAATAGTTGGTTCGTGGCAGTTCACTTTTTTTTATTTATGCTAGGTTTATATTATTGTTATTTTGGCTTCTCGAATATTATATCCAAAATTGCATTTTCTATGACATTATTTTTGCGTCTTGATCTTGCTGATTAATTTTGCAGACATTGATATACTTTTATGATCCCATAGAGCTGGAACAAGATCAACTCATTGAAGGTTTAGTGACATTGTCGCAAAGCAGAGAAAATGCACGATTTATGAATATTCACCTTGAATATACGTGAGTCAGAACAGTTGTTTCCCAAAATAGGGTAATTTTTTAATGGATTTCTGACTTTGTTCCCTGGCATTGCAGTTCAGGTGGTCGATCGCATGTGAAAGAGTCTGTTATGAGATGATAATTTAATTTCATGTACGTGAGCATTGTCTTTCGCATCAACATTCTCGGACTTCTGCATATATAATTTCTGACTCCGTTTCTCCTAGAGAACTGTGGGTAGGTGTTTGTTCTTCAAATCACTAATCTCTGCGTGCTAGATTAGAATGTAGCAACTGACGAACTTGTCACACCATAGAGTTATGCCAATCACATGCAATTTTGTTGTAATTTACATCACTGAGGCGGATTACTATCGTGGGGCTTTCGCATATTTTGTTTCAATTATCTATTGGATTCTTACTGTAACATAGAGCTGTTTTTGAACTGTACATCGCGTGCGTATTGATATAGACTTCAATGTATCATCTTTGAGCATCGTTGCCATGTTTGGTGTACCTTTTTTAAGATGAAACTAGTATTATTTTTCTAAACCTCAAAAAGTTCAATCATAACCGGAAATGTGTTGCACTTTCCAGAGTACATTTTCCGAAACGAAAGAGGGTGTTGGTGAAATTTTCAGATGTAGGAAGCTGGTCCCCCCAACTTAATATTTAATGTTTTTTTTATTGAGTCCATACTTTAGGCTATCATTACTCTTTCTCCAGCTTTCGCATTTTTAGTATTATGGAAAGTATATATTCTCCCGGAAAATAATCTTAGACTGCTATAGTTTCAGGTTCTTATTTTTGGGGGGTTTTATGATTAAAGCTTTGAAATTTAGTTTCCAAGATTTTAGAAAGTAGATCGTGGAGCATATAATAACCAGAAATATGCTTTGGAATTTAGTTTCCGGAAATGATTAAAATTCGTTTCGGAAACTGAATTCCGGGATACATAGGAAACCTAAATATCATTTATTCCACATCTTCATAAAGTAATGCAGTTGCATTGTACACCACACCATGAAGGGTATTGCAATTCTTTATCATTTGCTGTCCAAATTTTGCCCACAAAATCTCACTTTGTATCTCATATATCTACATGTTTTCTTAGTTTGCTCACTTTACCTTTATAACTTCACGCTTGAACTTAGGATCCCATCCTTGTGTCTTTAAGCACCTCCATCATCCCAATCCTTGTATGCTTCAATCATTACGTTCAGCAAACTAATAATGTATATGGAAAGGACAATTTTGCCTTATACACAATATGGATAATTTCTCATAGATTTATTATTTTGGAATTTAAGATCGAAGAAAGTTTTTTAATTCATAAAAGGGAGGGTTGAACTTAAGATTCTGTACGAACTATATAAACTCCTCATTACTATATTATTAAATCGGAAAAAAAATGAAACATATCTCCTAAAAGAGGAGAAAACACTAACACATGATAATTATGTGATAAGTGTTAGATATATTATCTTTATTTTATATTTATCTTTTATTTTTAGTTAGTTTATTATTATTTTTTATTTGTATTTTGAGTTTAGTCTATATTTTTTCAATTATAAATAGAGGACTTTATGTGTATATTCAATACAAGTGAGATTAATTCCATACATAATTTTCACTATATTCAACATGGTAATTAAAACATAAGGTTTTTTGTTTGCGGGCTCTATCTATTACAACCGACGTCGTCGTTAGAGTTGTCGTCACTGCCGTTAGAGTGTTGTCGTTGCCATTAGAGTTAAGAGACACCACTGTCACTTGAGCATTAGTTTTAATTGGTGACCACAATTTTTCTCGTCTCGACCAATCAACCACAACGTCGTCAAGATCGCTACCATCGGAGTCCAGACACACTCTCATGCATTGATCATAGTTTGCTTTCGCTATACTTTCTAGCCGCTCGTGACAACATATGTGTCATTGTCTCCGTTGTCGACCACCTTCATTGGACTTATACGACCTCCCCTATCTGGATCTAGTCTGGTTATGTTGATTGAGCCTCTTTTGAGTTCAAGGATTTTACTTTCTTGGTTGTTCATGGCTTCTGACCCGTCCATATATACTAACTATGTCAATGTGCATTTATCTATTGATAAGTTAGATGATACTAATTATGCGACTTGGGCATCAGACGTTAAACTTTGGCTTAAGAGTTAGGGGTATCTTGATCATATTACTCAGAACGTGACAACTATGGATTCTGCTGCGGTTTCCCATTGGTTGAAAGTTGATGCTCAGTTATGCATTGTTCTAAAAGGTACCCTTCATTCCTCCTTAAAACAATTTTTTCGTTCCTACAAAACATGTTTTGAAATATGGGAACAGGCCAAATTATTATACACCAATGATACTCAATGTTGTTGCTTCTTGGCATTACGACTCTATGACTGTTTATATGGGCAAAATTCATGCTATTTTTTATGAATTTAATGAATTATTGCTTCATGCCTCTACTTCTGCCAAATAAATAGAGCAACAGTCAAAGTTCTTCATGCTACTAGCATTGCACAACCTTGCTGATGGGTATTCTCATATTTGTGATCAGATTTTGGATTCACCTGTTGTTCCCACTTTGACTTCTACTTCTTTCACTCTTTTGCGTGTACCTATTAAATCCATCAATGATACATATGTTTCCTCTACATTAACATCTCAACGTCACGATTGCAATCACTCTCACAAATCGGGAAAAGGACGTCTCAAGTGTAACCATTGTGGCAAGCTAGGCCACACGATTGACAGATGTTATGCATTACATGGTCACCCTCCTAGATCTGCTACTATTGTTTAGATTTCTCCTCCGTCACAATCACCTATTGGGGATTCTCCTTCATCTGATATTACTGATGACTCTACTATTTCCAGTAAATTTCTCAAATGGTATAAGGATCAACAACCTTCTAGTTTCATTACATCTGTATCACACACAAGTACATCTTTTATTGGTCTGAGTCCATCTTCTTCTCTTGGCTCTTAGGTTCTTGACTCGGGAGACACAAATCACATTGCTGGTAACAAATCTTTGTTTTCCTCTTTGTCCTCTCCGAATCCTTTACCTTCTGTTATAATGGCTGATGGATCTAGAATTTTAGCTCATGGTGTTGGGACTATTAACATTTTTCCTTTTTTATCCATTGATAATGTTCTTTATGTCCTTGAGTCTCCTTTTAACTTATTATCTATTAGTCGTCTAACTCGTTCTCTTGATTGTGATATTTCTCTTAACAAAGATTTTGTTTGTTTACAGGACTAGAGTTCGAGACAGGTGATTGGCACCGGATGTGAGTCTCATGGTCTTTATCATCTTCGCCCCTCTACACATATTGGCACAGTTATGGAGTCTCCATCACTTCTTCATGCTAAGTTAGGTCATTTCAGTCTTGCCAAATTGTAACAACTTCTTACTAGCTTATCCAAGTTGTCCAATTTGGTCTGTGAGTCGTGTCATAGGAAAACATATTCGTAGTTCTTTTTCTCGTAGTGTCTCACAACGTGCTTCGTTCCTTTTTGCCTTAGTCCATTATGACATTTGGAGACCTAGTCGTGTTATGTCTACTTCTAGGTTTTCAATATTTCGTTACTTTTATTGATGATTATTCTAGACGTACTTGGTTATTTTTAATGAAAAATCATTCTGATTTATTTTATCTTTTTCAAACCCTTTATAATGAAATTAAAACTCAATTTGGTGTTTTTATTCAAACTGTGTGCAGTGATAACGATTGTGAATATCTTTCCCATTCTTTTCAACAATTTATGGCTTCTTATGATATTCTCCATCAAATTTTATGTGCTTATACACCTCAACAAAATGGGGTGGCTGAGGGCAAAAATAAACATCTTATTGAAACAACTCACACTCTTTTAATTCATGGTAAAATTCCTCAATATTTTTGGGGTGATGCTATTCTTACTGCATGTTATCTCATTAATCGCATGCCCTCTTCTGTTTTAGATAATAAAATACATCATTCTATCTTATTTCCTCATGAACCCCTTCACCCCTTACCTCTAAAAGTTTTTGGGTCTATATGTTTTGTTCATAATTTTAGTTCTGGTCTTGATAAGTTAGCTCCTCGATCACACAAATGTGTTTTTTTAGGTATTACTAAATCAAAGAAAGGATACAAGTGTTTTTCTTCTTCTCTTGATCGTTATTTTATATCAGCAGATGTCACCTTCAATGAGTATTCCTTTTATTTTAACGATCATTCTTCTTCTGATATGTCTCCTTCTAATGTTGTTTGTACTCCTCCAATTGTGCATAGTTCACCAGGTGTTTCTCAACCCCCAACAAGTGACTCAATTCAATTGCCAACTACCTTGTCTCCTTAGGCTACGACAATTGAGTCTACCCTTCCAATTGCCCTCCGAAAAGGTATATATTCTATTCGTAATCACTTTCCACATTATCTTGCTTTAAGTTATTATAGACTATCTTCACCTTTTTATACCTGTCTTTCGTCTATTTCTTCTGTGACCATCCCAAAATTTGTTACTGATGCCTTAGCCCCATCCTAGTTGGCGTCAAGCCATGCTAGATGAACTAAGTGCTCTTTAGAGTAATGGAACTTGGGTGCTTGTCCCATTACCGTCTTGAAAATTTGTTGTTGGTTGCAGGTGGATTTTTGCTATCAAAGTTGGTCATGATGGAACTATTGATCGCCTCAAAGCTCGTCTCTTGGCCAAAGGTTACACACAAATTTTTGGGTTGGATTATGATAATACTTTTTTTTCCAGTGACAAAGATGGCATCTGTTCGTTTATTTATAGCCATGACGGCTCTTCAACAATGACCTCTTTATCAATTGGATGTAAAAAATGCATTCCTTAACGGATATTTGCAAGAAGAGATTTACATGGAGAAACCTCTAGATTTTTTGCTCAAGGAAAGTCTTTTGGGTTGGTATGTCGTCTTCGCAAATCACTATATGGCCTAAAACAATCTCTTAGGGCCTAATTTGGAAAATTTAATAATGTTGTTCAATAATTTGGTATGAATCGATGTGAGACAAATAATTCAGTCTTTTACCGTTACTCGAGTGTTAAATCTGTCTACTTGATAGTATATGTTGATGACATTGTTATTACAAGCATTGATAGTCATGGCATCTCTCATATGAAATAACATATGTGCAACCATTTTCAAATCAAAGATCTAGACTTAGATATTTCTTGGGTATTGAGGTGGCACAATCCAACGATGGTATTGTTATATCTCAAAGGAAATATGCACTGGATATTTTGGAGGAAACTGGGTTCATGAATTCAAAACCTATGGACACACCCATAGATCCTAATACTAAACTTCTACCAAAACAGGGAAAGCCTATGTTAGATCCCGAGAAATATAGAAGACTAGTTAGAAAATTGAATTATCTTACAATTACTCATCTTGACATTTCCTTTGCAGTTAGTGTGGTAAGCCAATTCCTTAATTTCCCATGTGAAGATCATTGGAATGTAGTTATTCGTATATTAAAGTACATT